TCCTTTACTGCTAGATTTCCAGGCATGTTAATAAAAAAGGCTGGCAGACATTGCAGTTCATCTAGCAACTTAATCCTTCTTAGATTATATAAAGACCATAGGTCGGATGTCTCTTTTCCCTACCCAATCTGTACTGGTGTCCCAAAAAGTCCGATCCTTGGGCCACTCCTCTATTTTATTTATGCAAATGACTTACACGTATGTATCTTCTCTACGATTTGCTTTCTTACTTCGACACTGCAATAAGCAATAGGCCAAATTCACAGGCTATTTTTTAATGAGTACTGCAAAGCATGTTAGAGCTAATCTTCTTAAAGGAAGCAATGCCTTCGTGGAGCACACAAAATTGAAAGAAGATCACAACACCATAATTGCGTGTTATGTCGATGACATTGCTATTTCGAACTGGCTTTCTCGAAATGGTAGTGAGCAGTTCGAGAAGGCTGAATCACGCAGTTGAAATGATTTATTATAAGATTCCGAAGAATGAAAAATGGTGCCAGAGGTGGAAGACAAAAATCATTCCAGGAAATTCCTAAATCTTAGTTATCAGAAAGTATAAAGTTCAAGATAAACTACTTGTCTGTAAAGTGACTCTCTTCGGAAAGCATTTCCCGGTTGTACGTTCGGCGAAATAATTAAGAGTTTGGCTCAACAGATCATTCATTTGGTCTACGCACATCAACAGTGTGCGTGGAAAGTCATAAGGTATCATTTGCAAACTTTTCACCAGTAAGTTACGTCGTTATAAGGCTATCATTCGACTGATCTTCATTTACGCGTCGTCAGTCTGGGCATGTGCGAAAGAAAATGTACTGAAGAAGTTGTATGCCCTGCAAAGCAAGTTATTGCAGATTATCACTAGTGTCCCTTAATTCATACGAAATGAAAATTTTCACCATGATTTGAAAATTGACACGATACAGGAATATATAAATGAGCAAAACGTCAAATTCTGCGACAGGACGGCAGCCAATACTATTACACACTTCGCTGCACTTCTGACTTCTGAAATTAGTTGACTATTTTATCATTCATCTATGTGCTGTAAATGTTCTACGGCAAAAAGGATTTGTCATCTGACATGTGGTTTCCCCCTCATCTACACACAGCTGAGCTGTCTGTTAAGCTTCGTGATGATATGTATATGTAGTATATATAAATATTGTATATTTTCCTTTTTCGTGTGTTGTCTGGATTGAATACCATCACATGCAAGTTGATGCTACTCTCACAGTTAGAAACACTCATCTTCTCCGCCACTTACCCGGATTTTCTCCGAATGCTATAGATGGCACGAGACGCGTGACTGCTCTAGCTGCTACAAAGCCAGACTTCCTACGACGGGCACATTTCATGTGCCATACATTCTAAGGTTCTGTAACGAATTCTGGAATTGCTATGGGAAGTGCGGCTTAGGCAACAGAACCCCAGAATAACACTGCAATATCGCAGCCATCTCGATGGAGAGTAGAGCAGAGTTCATCTGCCGAATCGGCTCGTTCCTTATAGTGATATCAGGAAGGACATCAAGCAAAGAATCTTGAACAAATGGCATCAACTTTTGAATATTCCGCTATATAATAAGAAGCATAAAAGCTAGAGTGGAATATTAAGACAGTACTAAAAATCGAAGAGAGAATGTCTTGGTAACTCTTCTGAGAATCGGTCACTCACAACTACCTTTTAAAGAGGAGAGGGAATCTATTTGTTTCAACTGTAATGTTATTTTATCAGTTCGTTACTTTTAAATTGGGTATTCACATCTTAACAGACATCGATTGAAGCATTTTAGTGACTGGGACTCACCTCTTGACCAAAGATTCGGAAAAGGGGTCAATAATATACCGGGTGATCAAAAAGTCAGCATAAATTTGAAAACTTAATAAATCACGGAATAATGTAGATAGAGAGGTAAAAATTGACACACATACTTAGAATGACATGGGGGTTTATTAGAACCAAAAAAAAAGTTAAAAAAAGTACTGTTATCGGGCCTTTTTTCTTAGGAAATGCGTGATGTTCTGGTTTTGTAACTGCTACCGTGACGGGTGAGAGGTACGCCGATATGTTACAGAATCGCATCGTGCCCAGCCTGGCTGATAAACACCTGCTGGAACGTACGATTTTTATGCAGGATGGCGCTCCACCCCATATTGCCAGACACGTGAAAGATCTCTTGCGCGCGTCGTTTGGTGATGACCGTGTGCTCAGCCGCCACTTTCGTCATGCTTGGCCTCCCAGGTCCCCAGACCTCAATCCGTGCGATTATTGGCTTTCGGGTTACCTGAAGTCGCAAGTGTATTGTGATCGACCGACATCTCTAGGGATGCTGAAAGCATCAGACGCCAATGTCTCACCATAACTCCGGACATGCTTTACAGTGCTGTTCACAACATTATTCCTCGACTACAGCTATTGTTGAGAATGATGGTAAACATAATGAGCATTTCCTGTAAAGAACATCATCTTTGCTATGTCTTAATTTGTTATGCTAATTATTGCTTTTCTGATCAGATTATTGCTTTTCTAATTATTGCTTTTCTAATAAAATCCCATGTCATTCTAAGTATGTGTGTCAAATTTACCTCTCTATCTACATTATTCCGTGATTTATTAAGTTTTCAAATTTATACTGACTTTTTGATCACCCGGTATTTCAGTACCTTAAACACTTGCACTACGACTAAACTTCACGATTGTGGTGCCGTGCGCTACAATATAACAAGCGGCAAAGTGTCTCATTTACGCCGCTCTGCGTCTGCGAGTGCAATTTAGAGCTGTAATTTGAGAAATAAACAATCTCGTTGTTAGGCGACGTGTGCACCACCTTATTTTCATTTTTGCGACAAATGCCTATCGACGTGGTGTTCACGTCACTCCCGGTGTGAGACAAAAGCATCTCGACGTGCGTGGCACGTCTTTTTAGCGCAAGTGGTTAAAGGAAAAGTTTTTTACTATTTAATTTGATTTAGTTTTGAAGTGTTTCCTGGGTATTATAATACTGTGCATTTTTATGTATCTCATACTTTTTTTTATTTGCTGCCCAGATGGTATAGTGGTTACGGAAGCCGACTGCAATACCAAAGGGCTCGGGTCCGAACCCCGGGAAAGGCATGGTTGTACCTGTCCGTACCTTCATAGGAGGCAAAGGTGGCCCACCTATTAGGTGCCTTCATGATAAAATGACTACCTTCATTTCGGCCAAGCCGAAGTCGGCTGAGAGCCCACCCTTTGGTTTAAATTCTTTTATTTATTTATTTATTCCTTTTTTACATCTGGTAACATCTGAGGTGTTATAGTTTTTCATCTTAGCTTTCATCATTTCATTTATTTAATTTTGTGAGTCTGTTATGGTTTTAATCTAGTGTTTGACGTTAACTTGTGCATCTTAAATACAAGGTTTTAATTTTTAGGTCTGAGGTATTTCTTAAATGGTTTGCATTTAGAAAAATTTCTCTTCCTACAAGTAATATTTACAGCAATTGGGAGAAAATTTTCCTGTGGAGTTACGATATATAGAAATAAGTAGTGTAGTTTTTGAATAAACTGCAAAAATTCAAAACGACGGTCCTTTCACCTCTCTGTTTTGTCTTCCCAAGAAGTAGCAAGCATAAAACATTAAAGTATTTCCCTCTATGTAAAGCATTCACCAGCGGCCAGGTGGCAAAGTCCCTGACCACTGGTAGTTTGACCCAGGTTCTAATCCTAGCGAATAGGCTGGTTGCATGGGTGCTTTCGTGGTTTTCTCCATCTGTGACATGGATATGAGCAAGTTTACCGTAGAACGCTTCTGCACGAAAGCATCCTTCCCCTTAGGCTATAATCATGTAAATTTAAATCTAACCATACCTTAAGAAAACAACTTGCTTTTTGACGTTTTCGCATAACTGCTGTCATTTGATGTGTTCTTTCTTCCCCACAGTTTAAATTGCTCAATTACACGTATGTAGCTTCTCTACGATTTGTTTCCTTTTTTCGACACTGCAATGAGCAAAACGCGAAGTTCACAGGGCGATTTTAATGAGTACTGCAAAGCATGTTAGGGCTAATCTTCTTAAGGAAACGGATGCCTTACATACGTCTTAATGACAACTTTTAATTATGATGATAGAATAGAATATGATGATAGATAGAATTTAGAATGATAGTGATGCCAGATGCGTAAAACATAATAAAATAATAAAACAATGATGCCACTGAAAACTGCACATAATATCAATTAAATGCTCGATTCTCAACACTTAATTTTGGAGTTCGACCTGGGCTCAAATCTCGGCGAACGGATACGGCTGGACGGACCTATTTCCAAATTTTTCCTTTGCGTACCCGAACATGGGCCAATTTCCGTTAGAACGTCCTCCACGAAGACATCTTTCCCTTAGGCCTAGGGTTCAGATAGCCTAGGGTGCTTTTCCATAATATGACATATCCAGTCCTGAAAAAGGGTAGGAGGATATATGGAATTGAAAAACGCCTATCTCATATTTGAATTTTGTCAAAATTCAGTCTCATATTAATATGTTGATTTATAAAGAAAACTCGATGAAATTCTAAAATAAAGATATAAAAAATAGAGGAGAAAGAAACTTTTGATTCTCTTAAATTTTAGTGAGCAAACTAATATAACTTACTTTGAGGGAGATTGAATTAAATTAATATTCATGTTGTTTATCACTTAATATCATTGAAATATGGAATTAAAAAAGAGGGAATACCGCAAATTTTAGTCTATTCATTCATCGAATTATTACTTGAGAAACCTGAGTTATCACCGTTAAGCAATTTAGAAAAATATGCCACGTTTTCCTTCGGAAATTAAACAAATTTCTGAATACAGGAAGCTACTGACAGTGTATATTTGGCGATCAGCACCCGCCGCTTGGCGAGCGTTTGTAGCACGGACTAGTAGAAAGGTTTCTTTCTACGAACCTTGGTTTGTAGCAACCCAAGAATTCGAGATTTTAACAGATCGCCGCATCGGTGCTTTGATCACTAAGCGACTAGGTTCCGAAGCGGGAAACTAAGGCAATTTTGTTGATTGTATAATTTTAGTTTGATTGCGTTAAATTCAAGTTTAACAAAGAAGTGTCCGTTTTTACTTCAACATGCCTAGGGACAAGGCTGCTGAACAGTTGAACGATTTCAAAGAATCACTGAAGGTAAGAAAATGTAATTCCCAGTTGTTTTAATGGCGATTTAAAAACTGGTTTCAAACTTCAGTTATATGAATAATTCACTTATTTTGTAACTGATTTTTTTCATGCTGCCATTAAGGAATTGAAGTTAAACAGAAAGTATGCACAGGTATTATTAGTATTCAACTTTTTTTTAATAATTGTATGTTGAAAATTACAGAGAAATGTATATATGCGCAATTTTACGATTTAATGTAAAAAAGGGGAATGGTCACGTTTTGAAAAGTTTGCGGGTTTTTATGAATGTAATCCAGATTAAAATAGCTCTGTTAATTTTCAGAAAGTTTTTTTTTTCCTTCCTTGCATATAAATTTAAATGTATTCCGAAATTATAAGTGATTACATTTGTTTATAATTCTTATCCCACCTGTTTAAAAGGACTTTCCCTGAGAATATTTTCGCAGTAATTACTGAATAACAGATCTGACTTTTTCTTCCTTGTATTATGATATTGAGCTCCTTATTATGTTCCGTTCTGCTGTCTTACCCACATTGAAATTCTGGATCGGAATGTTCACTTTTGAACATTGAAGCCAGAAATTTCTTAGTGCTGAATAACATTTTTGAAGATTTTTGATCTAATTTATAAAGTTTTTGAAATGGATTATTAAAAAACAATAACCTGAAGTATTATGTACGGCCATTTATTTATTTTATTTATTTATTTTTTCATAAGGGCCTTTTTCACATTTTGCCAGATCCCTAACCATTAGATTTAAATTATACTTAATTTATTGTATTTTCATTGTGAAATTTTATGAATGAAATTTCAATCTCAATACTCAGTTGCCTTCACTATGAACACATCCAAACATCTGGTGAACTGTAATGAAAAAAACAGTATTACAGCCCAAACTTGAGATACTATTTGACTTAAGAAGCAAACTTTTATCAAGTTTCTGACAAAATTTTTTAAAAAGTTATTTAATAATTTGTGGATCTGAATTGTTTGTGTATTAAAAAATGTATTGTGTAAATGTTGCACTACTGTGATAATCTAAATTTTTTATTGTGTGCTCTGCCATTAGCCGATACACAGAAAGGGAGGTATGCTTCATTCATGGGGAAAACCACAAAAACATCCATGCAACGAGCCTGTTCACCTGAACTCGGACCCTGAACCAAACTACCAACGTTCAGCAGCTTTAACCACTCAGCCGCTGGTGGATCCATTGTCATAATTAGAACATATTTTGTTAAAATCTTTTTATGTTGTCTATCTTCATTTAATAGGTTGTTAATCTTAAAATTGCATTTAAAAGTGCAGTTTTCTCATTTTTATATATTTCTTTGTTTTAAACTGCAATTTTGTAATATGGGCATTATCATCCATCTGTGGGCACTAAGAAGATTTGGGAGGGGTTATCAGAACTGATTCTGGGCCAAAAACGGCAATATAAGCCAAGCTGAAACACTTTTATTACCTCAGCATTTTTTTAACAAAACCCATTTTAAAGAATTGTACGAAATTAAATCTGTCAACCTTTTGCGTGTGATTGTCTAAGCTCTAGTTATGTGATGGTATATAAATGCTTTTTTTTATTCCTTGGAAGCTTTCAGAATGCAAATTGCAACCTAGTGGTCAAAATTTTTACAAATAAGGATTTTTGAATGATGTTCAGTAAATTCAGTGACTGGAATTTGAGCAAAGTCTTGAATCACTACCAGTGTGCTTTCTAGTTTTTTGATGAGTTGTAATTAACAGTTTCATGCATTGCAGCAGATATATAACTAAGTATTTTAATGCCTATTCAGTTGGTGACAACAGATTGTGTTCAAAGGATATCTAATACCATTATTACAAGGCCAAGGGCATGTGCTTGAGAAACTTTAACCCTCTCAGAGTTATGGCCGGAAAATTCTGCATAGAAGGCTGCCTTTTATATTCATTATACATGAACATTTCTACTAGTTTTTAATGTATCTGATTTTGGTTTGGATGCATATTGGAAGAAAAGGAATCTTTTATTGGCATGCTCTTCAGCTCACGACTGCAAGATTTGGTTATGTGAATAGGAAAGTTTTTATCCATAAACTTGTCACCTTCCACATATCTTTATAGATTTAGTTGAGTAAAATATCACCAAAGCTTATGATAGTTGTCTTTCCTTTTAGGATGATAATGAGACCTAGAGAAAAACAGCAAGATGACTGCTAAGTTCGTTGTAGAATAGGCATCTTACTTGACTGCTAATATCATTTGTGCTTTGTAATTAATTTGATGGCTGTCATCCTTTCTCATCTAGATTTGATATGCTTTGCTGCCCATGGGCCTTTTTTGCTCATCTTGCTTTTTCATCTACTGTTCTTGTACAAAGCATGTTTCACCTTGAATGTATACTATTGTGACTTTAGATGCTACTCAGGATTTGATTAAGAGTGTTGTGGACCCAAGGTAGAATGGTCTTTTAGAAGGTTCTGGCATTTATTTTTCTTGTTTTTATCAAGTATAAACAGGATTATAAAGAATTGAAGGATAATTTTGAGACCTACTAAAATAAGAGACTCTAGGTGCTCTCCGGTGCAAGCCATACAGATAGAAGCAGTAGTCACTCGCTGATACTGTAACTCAAGAAGTATTTGTTACTCTACTACTCATATTTCATTCAGATGGGAATAATTGATTTAGAGCGTTTAAAGTCTAAGGTCTGATCTAAGTCACTATCTGCAGCAAAACAGCAATGTAACAATACATCTGCTAATTATAAAATTAAAAAATAATAATCTTGGTGTGATGATTGATGAACACCATGGATGCACACTTCAATCGAATGGCGTGCATTGTCTCTCTCTCACGTTTCTTAAAACAGAAGAGGATGTGATGGTAATGAAAGCAACGCACTGTATGCTAAGCGTAATAATAATAAGGTCATATTTTTGTGTAAACTATTAGCTTTGTTCGTGTGATAATAAAGAGTTCATGCCATTAAATGTATGCTATATGAGATGTCCCCATTACATTTACATCCACAGTAAGTAATAAATATATCCAGAACCCACGTGTAGAAAGATGTATGAATTTTAGTATTTAATTATTTTATGCATAGAAAAAATTTGCAAAACCAATAATATCATTACTTAGCATTTCCATTATTTTGATAACCACTTACTTGTATTCAAACCAAATGCTTTATCAAACCTAAAGTATTTCTGTCACATATGTTTTGCTGCCTTTTTGTTTTAAATATAGTTTCATAATTCATAGGGAAAGAGTGAGGTTTTGACAACAGCTTCAGGATGCCCCATAGGTGACAAGTTAAATTCTATGACCATAGGTGAAAGAGGACCTGTGCTTCTTCAAGATGTGGTCTATTTGGAAGAAATGGCACACTTTGATAGGTTTGTAGAAGCGAGAATAGTATTATATCATTATTTTATCTGTAAGATATAATTAAGATATAAACTGCTGCATTTTACAAAACTTTGTAACTTTTTATAAGTGTAATTATTCATGTATATGTTGCAGCTTACTTGTTTGTAATTTAGTTTAACATTTTCATTTGTAATGAAATTTAAAATTAAATTCTTTAATTAAACAGAAAAATAAATTTATGTATTTTTGTATAATTATAGAATATTTATATATATAAACAATATAATGAAATTAAAAATAAATATAGTGCATATTTAGCCAAAAAGTTAAGAATTTCACTGTGAAGTCTAAAGTTAAACCTGATAAACAATGCAATTTGTGCACCGTCTCCAATAAAGGTCAATGCAGTATAATTTAATAAAATTTAAAATTACTAACATTTAGAAAATTAAAAAAATGAAAATAAATGAAACTCAAAAGGTAACGAAGAAGTGAAGTAAATTAGGTAAAGGAAATCTCCTGTCTGTCAAGGAAGAACTAGCAGTTAAAGCAGAGCAAATGCAATTTAAAATTACATTCAAAATGAGTAAAAATTTTAGTTGATTTTAGGAAAATGAACAACTGAAAATTCATTGAGACAATGGGGACTCGTCAGGGTGAAATACCTTATCACACCTTCTCTGCAATTAATTATTCAGACATTGTGTTTTGTCCTTCCCCGGCATACATAATCCTAATTTTTCTAAATTTTTAATATTAAAAATTCATTCAAAAATTAGTAAATCCATATGCATGTTAAGAATTCCCCCTACATGATTCAGGATTCTCCAGTTGAGTGAGTTTTATAAATTATGGGATACAAGTGTGTTTTAAATAATGGGTATGCAACCATATGATTTAAAAATTCTAATTAATGAAAATAACTGAAAACTTTTATTACATTTTAAAATTTTAATGTTTAAAAAATTATGTTAAAAAATTATTATGTCTGTCAAATTGTTGAGATTTTTTTTAATAGGGAAAGAATACCAGAGAGAGTTGTTCATGCTAAAGGAGCTGGTGCTTTTGGATATTTTGAAGTAACGCATGACATTACAAAATATTGCAAAGCTAAAATCTTTAGTGAAGTAGGAAAAAGAACTCCACTTGCAGTTAGATTCTCCACAGTTGGTGAGTACAAAATTTCTTTATGTACCACAGAGGGGTATATTTTTATTCCTTTTGATCCAACTTAAGCCTGTGAAGTATTATATAATATATATATATATATGTTATATGTGTAATAATGAATTTTTGCAATACTAGTAAAAAATATTTCTTGAAATTTTAACAGGTGGAGAATCTGGTTCTGCTGACACAGTTCGTGATCCCAGAGGTTTTGCTGTCAAATTCTATACTGAAGAAGGAAACTGGGATCTGGTTGGAAACAACACTCCCATATTTTTCATCAGAGATGCCTTGTTGTTTCCAAGTTTCATCCATACCCAGAAACGAAATCCTGTTACTCATTTAAAAGTAGGGTGCAGAATTCCTATCTAACAGTAAACTGATAGCAAATATTATATTAAAAAAAAGACTAATTATCATTCAAAAACAAATCTTTTAAGTCAAAGCATATGCATAAGAATTAAATAATAATTTTCACTAAGATTGTATACATTTAATTATTTTTTTTACATGATAGATGAAAACCCACTACAAATAATAAATGATTTCCTAGCAAATCGTATCAAAACATGAAAATTTTACTTTTAAATATAATTTTTATTTGTGCATATTTGTTTCATAAATATATGAAAAGTAAATTATTCTCTATAAATGTAGTTTTCAGTATCTGGGGACATAAATTATCATTCTTGAAATACTAATTCATGGATGCAGAAATGCAAAGAAATATATTATGTATACATGGCTACTTATTAGATTTTTTTCATTATCACTCTCTTGCAATAGATATTGTGTATGAGAAATGAAATCGCTTTATTTACTCAAAAATTTTGCCTTATGCATTCACATTCCAGTAGTTGAACTGAATTGGGAAATTATGTGTAGCACCTGCCAATTATTAAATTATTTCCATTCCAAACATATTGAGTTTATTAAGTGGCTGAGTTTAATAAATGGCGGTTTCACGGTATTAGCTTTAAACTTATTTAGTAAAATAGTAGCTAATAATTAAGACCTAAATTATTAATTAAAAATTAATGCTAAAATTAAACTATAAACGAAACTTGGAAATTAATTTTTTATTTTTTAAAAACTTTTAAAAAGAACTCTTCTATCTGTATTTGTTTTGCATTGTTTTTCAACATTTTTTCAATTGTATTTTCAAGTTCATAAAACTATTGGTAGCTTTTCTGATTTCCACCTTTCAGTTCAAGAGTTCTTAGAGTTTGCAGCGATTTTCTCGATTCAGCTGATGTTGGCATGTAGTCACTTTCATTGTCAGTTTCAATTTCTGCAGCTCTTTTAACACTTACTGTAATTTTGTAGTCGGTGTTTTCATATGCTGTCTCAGTATTATCATCAATTGTAGAAGGTATTCTAAAAATAAATCTTTGTTATTTCTCTCATTGATGTCCGAAATATTAAAAATAGTTTGCAATTCTTTTGTGGCTTCTAAATGAAAATCATATTTTCTAAGGCAGTTTCTATGTTCTGGGAGGTTGCTTTCCATGCACTGACTGTAAGATGCAGACTCTAGCAAATATATCTAGTTTGTTATCTCCTTTAAAGTATTTACATTTTCACAAGATTCAATTTTATATTTTTTTTTCGGGGGGGGGGGGGAGATGACTCATTTTCTTTAATTACATGTAGAAGCTGTTATAATACCTTGACCTAATGACCGAATGATAGAAGTCATATTTGCAGGAAGAAATATATTGAATGTTTTTCAGAACGATATCAAAATGGTGTACAAAACAGTTATATAACAGTAAAGTGTTTTTTTTTTGGGGGGGGTGGAGTTCTCTGTCCCATTTCAAAAGGAAATCAGTAAAAATACTGTTTTTCATCCATGAGCTCTTGTTGTAAATTATAGGTTAATTCTTGACTTCTTTTTAAACATCAATGTTTTCTATTCTTTTCAATATCCATTGACATCTTTTTTTAATTGTCGTATCCATATTGCATATTAATAATACATTAACTAATTCTTTTAATTTCTTAACCAGCTGATGTTTCACACTTAAATATTGATGTCTGCTTCAGTCATGCTCTGTAGAACAGACCAGTTTCATCTGCATAATAACTATCATGTGCTTGTATTCTTTTAGAAGCCTGGGTGAAATGTCTTTTATTCATTTTTTTCATCCAAAATCTGCGCCTTGCTTCCCATTATGTAATTTTTGATAAACAATATTATTTTGCTCTTCTCATCTTGTGAGCCATCCATCAGCTGGCAGAAAGTTTTTCTCCTAGCGTTTTAGCAAATTCTACAGCTTTTTGATTAAAAGCTCTATAAACTGAAATATTTTTTAGTCTTGTAGCTTGAACCCATTCTAGAAGAGCAGTTTCAGAATCTCTCCATTTTCTATCCCTTTTGCACTTCCTTGAGACATCTGCATTTTTACTAGTTCTTTATAAAATTTTATTTCTTTAAGTAAATTGCTCAATGCTGTTTTGGAAATCTCCATTTTAGAAGCTGCTTCTCCTTGGCTGTATTTACCAAATGTATCATAATCTTTCAGCAATTTATCCTTTTCTTTCAGGCTTAAGTCATTTTGTTTAGGCATTTTTGATATGTTAAAAGTCACAAAACAAATAAAAAAATTTTCTTCCAGGGATTTGTTCAAATCTGAAATTCCCTTTCTTGCCAGCAAGAAGATTGCACTCTCTGTCAAGTCGATGAGTCATTTCATGGCTGTTATAGGCAAAATCAATGCTTTCTTTTATTTTTTTTTCAATATACAATGCCCACTCCCCTTTTCCAGTCAAAGACTGATAATGTGCAATAAATCAGGAAGCATTTCATGATGTCTTCTGAGAACACAGTGCAAACTTAATGTGTGTATGCACATCCATCCCACTGGAAAACAGTGGAAGTCCTGGGAAAAACTCATTCATCTATAATCAAAGAGCTTGTTTCCAATGCTTCTAGGGGACTGCTTTTGATAATCATAAGATAAAGATGTTCTGTCACTTTTAGCTGTAGTCCAGTCAGAGATTTGTAAACAGTTTCTGACAGGAACTAGGGAAGTTGGTTGAAATTTCTGCTAAACTTGTTACTACATAACTGAATAAAGCACTAATTAACTGAAAGATAAATGAATGAACTACAAATATCTTTTATCAGCCTCAAACAGTGTAATCATAATAAATATAAGCTTTAATAAATTTTGAGTAAGCATATTTTTTAGAATTATACTCAAAGGGTAAATAAAAATAAAATCTGTGAAAAGAGAACTGGAATTTTTCTCCACTTAAACCACATGAAATGAGAATCATGTTTAAAAAAATACACATCAAAATTAAATTGGACCTGTCTGTTTGAACTGTTTGTAGAAAGAAGAAAAAGTTGGGAAATTTTACACATGGAAAAGATGAACTCTACACTTTTATAATTTCTGGTAATTATAGCTCTGTGTAATGTTTTGCAGTCTTCTTGTGATTTCTAATGCATGAAATAATGGTAGATTACTACGTTACAAAGGTAGCATAATTTATGGATTAACATTAACAATTGGTAAAAATTTTTTTTTATTGTTGTTGCAAATGCTTTAAAAAACTAAAACTAAAAATAATAATAATTAAAAAAAAAAAAAAAGTGTTTTTTGTACAAATTATTACTTTGTTAGTGAATATAATTTTGAATTTACTTTGATTATGTTTTGAATTTAGTAAATATTACTTTTGAATTATAGCAGCTTGCAAGGATTTTGAACTTATTTGTCCTTTGTTTAAATTATTATAAATTAATACAGGTATTAGAAACTGTCATTTAAATATGTATATGTCTTTCTTCCTATGTTAATGATAATTTTTTTTTTAAATTTTTTTATCTAGGATGTGGACATGTTCTGGGACTTCTTGACTCTGCGGCCTGAATCGACTCACCAGGTGTCTTTCTTGTTTTCGGACAGAGGTATTCCAGATGGTTACAGGCACATGAATGGTTATGGTTCTCACACATTCAAGCTTGTTAATGCTCAGGGTGAAGCTGTTTACTGTAAATTCCATTATAAGGTGAAAATCAGACCTTTTAATAATCTGTTTGAGAATAACGGTTTCTGGCAAATGAAAATATTTGCCAGAAGCCAGAAATAAATTGAACTTTTCTTTCATTTCATGTTTTATAAAACCGAATACCATATTTACTAGTATATTCCCCCTCACTACTCATTTTAAACTTATTATGGTATTTTTTATTTCAAAATTTAACTTCTGTATTTAATTTTTCAATTTTTGAATAAGTCTACAAATAACTAAGGACATCATAGTTTGATCTCTAACATCAAAATGAACTGATTGCAGAGAGATTTTTGTGTTCCCTTTGCCATGTTTTCTATAAATATAAGCCATTACGAAGTCATCTTTATATAAGGATCCTTTGTAACAAATATAATTCATTACAAAGCCATCCTTTGTTGTGATATAGCACTTATCATAATTTAAAAAACACTCTTTTTGAGACATTCAGGTCATAAATAATGGAGTGAAACTTTCCTAAGATTATCAATGAGAGTTTAGAAATCTCGTCTTTTGCAGTGATGGTAGTCAAGAATTTGCATGATGACTTAAAAATGATTTTGATGATGGTTTTACTGATTTGCATAATTGACTTACTTTCTTATTCAAGTCTTATTTCTCATTCTTACTTTCTTATTTCTATTATTAAAAATGTATTGAAATAGAAATGCAGTACTTCAATTTATTAATACTACAAACTAAAAAGGTTATAAGTTGCAAAGAAAAGTAAGTTAATGGATAATGTAGTAATAAGTCAAAATAAGAAAAATCTGTCCCTCCCCTTTTCTCAAGTACAATCAGTGACTGAAATTTTCAAGCCCAGAAAATAAATCATATGTTTAATAGAAAAATAATTTGGGTATTTATTTTTTTTTTTTTTTTACCAAGAATACCTATTTTTTAATCACTTGAGAGCTGTTTTCAGTTTGAACTTCATTAGTAAATCAAGCATCATGTTATTTCCTGCATTATGATCAATTATTTAAACTTTCATTCAGTTAAAGATTAGCCATGATTCTTTACTTTTGCCTCTAGCAGAGTTTCTATCTGTTCTTTAGAAGTAAAGGCATTAGCATATATTTCATATTAGTTGTTTTATTTGGACTATTATTCTTCATCTTCAGACAACTGACAATTAAAGTTACTTTCCTTAAAATGGTGCTGTATCATTTTCTGATTCATGTCATTTCGTGCTTTTCTCCTGAACTCAATCACATCCACAAAATAATATTTTTTAAATCGCTGCATATACATTTTCTGAGTTAATATGTGCCAATTAATGTCTAAGTTCAAACTACTTTATATCCATATAGTGAGTTTTTCCAAAACTAATTAAACTTTTATGATCAATCCAACATTAAACAAACTGAAAATTTATCACTATTTATGCTTAAACATGTTAACTAATATATTTCTGTTTTTAAATAGTATGGAAAGTATTAAATTAAGTACTCTTCAGAATATTGTATAGGATAGAGCAAAGAAGCTTCCTTCTTTTGGACAAAGATTGTGAATGGAAGGACAGTCATAGAAAAGTAGGTAGGGGCTCAGTGAATGCCGCAGTTGTCGAAGTTTCTGACAATACCCTTCAGTATTAAGTTCAGGGACTGAACGTCAAAGTTGTGGAAGTTTCTTTCGGTACCCCTCGGTATCCAACATACAGTGGACGAGGGGAACATCCTTCGAACAACCATTCTTTTATAGCGGTGTAGCCTGCATTCCATTGTCAATTCAGAATTCCCCTGAGGTCTGTTTCCCATCTGGAAATAGATTATTTTTTGGGTAGAGTGCTTAAGAGCACTATGAAGTGTAATGAAAAAACCCCTAGGACAATGATGGACAATTACAACACATAAAATATAGAGGCAATTCAACAGTCAAATTTAAAATTTCTGAAATGCTCTGCTTACAAACATCCAGTTGCCCTAGCATTGTCAAATTGTTTAACATATTGAACTCTTCACAAACATATTAACTTCCATTCTACAAGATGTGCAGTGTGCAAGAATTATCATCAGATAATTTCTGCAATTGGAATAATAATGTGCAAAACTTTATTGGAAATTAGTCCTTGACACACTTGTCTTCTTTAGTGACCAGGCACATTTTTACCTAGCTGGATATATAAGCATACTGGAGTGGTAAAGTTGTAAAGAGGTTGTTTCAGTGTGATAATGTGACAATATGATGTGCATTGTCTATAAATGGAGTTATTGGTCCTTATTTTTTTTTAGAAAGATGATCATGCAGTTACGGTTAATTCATGATGCTATGTAGACATGATTCAAAACTTTTTCAAATCAGCTGTAGAAGAAATGAATTTAGAAAGTGTGTGATTCCAAAAGGATAGTATTACTCCTCGCATACCCTGAGCTTTGATGGCAGTGTTTCCTGGAGGGCTTGTCTCGATGTAAGGTGATATGTCATAAAGGTAATCGAATGCCTTGTGATTTTTTTTATGAGGATACCTCAAGGTAGAGGTTTTGAAACATTTCCCTGCAAACCTGTTTCAGTTGTAGAATGTTATTTTTCAGGAGACAGTCCAAATTCCTGAAGACATGATAGAACATGTAGAGGGGAACTTTAGAAATCAATTTCCTTACTGCATAGAGAATGGTGACCACCACCTTAAAGATATTTTATTTACAAGATTTAAAATTTTAAATTATGTTCTTTCCTTGCCAAAAAAGAAAATGTGTATCAACAATATTTTTTCTATTATTCTTCTTTACATTATAAAAGTTTCTGTGCCTCACCCTGTGTATACAAAACATTTGTGATACTTAAAATGCTTTTTGATTTGCCATATTGTTGTATGATGCATATGAATTTATGTTAAATAATTTGTCACTTATGAATTTATTAAAGTATCTGTTGTCGTTATTTAATGATTTTTTTTTTTTCAAAGACTGATCAAGGAATTAAGAATGTGCCTGTTGAGAAAGCAAATGAACTTGCCGGCTCTGATCCAGACTATGCTATTCGGGATTTGTACAATGCAATTGAAGCTGGAGATTATCCTTCCTATACCATGTATATTCAAGTTATGACATTCAAACAAGCAGAAACATGGAAATTCAACCCATTTGATTTAACCAAGGTGACTGAAATTTCTGAATGCTTGTTTTTGTGGTGTTGTTTATATGTTTTCCGTGTTCTTTATTGCATTAAGTTTAATGTATAATTTCAAAATATCTTTTTTATCTGTGAAAGCTTTAAAAATACTGGAAATCTTCATTAAAAAGAATTAACATTTTAATTTTGTTCACAATTAATTGTGCATTTGCATTATTCTATCTTTTTTTAAATTTAAAGATGAACACATGTTTGTGTTCTGTTCGAAAAGGCAGAATTAAACTTTTTTAAAAAAAAATACTGAATACAGATATACACTTCTTTCCTAAAAGATGTATAGACATAATATTTCTCTTCATACATAGAAAATTGCTTTAGATTTATGTAAACTATGTTAGCACTAAGCTGGGCAGAGTTATGTACAAGAAAAGGTTATTTTTTTATATGGATCCAACAGAGAAAGATTTTAAATCGATAAAATGTTCACAAGTTAAAAAATTTCATATATTTGCTTCATGATGATGTGAAAAAATAAAACTGTTAAGGTACTTGTACCATATCTGCATTCATGTTTCCCATTACACTGTAAAAGGCTAACATTATTGGGGGAGGAGGGATCATGAAAAGTCGGTATGTATAGCAGTTAGTGACTGAATTGTTATTTATTAATTTTTCTCACATTAAAATGTATAATCATTAAGAAATTATTGAACATAATTTTATTGAAATAAAATGTTTTGAAAAATATAATTGCAAGCTTACAATATTAAAACTATCTGCATAGATTATTTTAGCTTGGCCATTTTGTGCACGATATTGTGGGATGCATCTACCTAAAAGTTTTATAGTGAATTTGTGAAGCTTTTGTTTTCTTTGAGTGTGTTTAAATTTGAAAATAAATGATACTCTTTGTTGTGCATTTAACAAACTTCTTGTTGTATAATTGAGTATTGAGAGATAAAAATAAATGTAAAACAAAACTAACTCATTCTTAAATTAAAAGTAATGAGTTTTATCAAATTAAATTAAAAGTAATAAGGAGTTTTTTATTTTTTCATTAACCAACTGAATAATTAAATTATTCATTAATCACTTACGGTTTTCAAAGCTGGAATTCAAATATCTGAGCCTTATTAATTTATTTTACAGATTTGGCCCCATAAAGAATTTCCTTTAATCAAAGTTGGAAAAATCGTTCTGAACAGAAATCCCAAAAATTACTTTGCAGATGTTGAGCAACTTGCATTTTCTCCTGCACATATGGTACCTGGAATTGAACCAAGCCCAGATAAAATGCTTCAGGTAATGGAATTGAGTGCTGCATGATACATAATAATATGAATTCATTTTTCTGTACTAAATGTTATAAGAATATAAATTTAATACTGAAATTTTATTGAATTTTAGGGAAGATTATTTGCTTACACAGATACACACAGGCATCGATTAGGTACAAACTTTTTACAAATTCCTGTCAACTGCCCTTACCGTGCACGCCCAAAGAATTACCAGAGGGATGGCCCTCAGTGTGTTGATGACAATCAAAGTAAGTCTAGGTTGCTAATGTGTTATAAAATCAAAATTTGATTTCAATATTAGCCTAAATGTGCAGTATGATAAAATCTATTAATAAATATCTTAAGATCTTACTTTTAAGAATCTGTGTTTGAAAATATGTAAGTTAATATGCATTGAATAATAAAACAAACCAAAGAAATTTGTTATTTGCACGGTAACAAAATGCGAATTTCATTAATTCTTTGTCATATAATTTGAGTGACAATGAGTTCCATTTCGGTTGAGAAACTTACTCATACATTGTCATTTCCAGAAGTTTGATATGCTTGATTAGTGCATGTATATAAGTAATACTGCATTTGATATTAAAAAAAACATAGAATTTCAGAAAATATAGTTTTATTATTTGGTACTCAATATAATCTTACTATTTCTTAGCAAATTTTGTGCTTATGTAATACAAAAAGTGGAAATTTTGAAACCTTAAATATTCTGTTCAGTATGTGTATATTCCAGAGGTACATGATGACAGAATTCTAAAATTTTCATGTTCAATCAAATGTCTTTACATTTATGCATTTCTTATCTGCTTGTTTGGTTTAAGTTATCATGGTATAGACTTTAAACATATTTGAATTTGTTTTTTTATTTATTTCATATTGTATGCAGATTTAATGAACGTTTGATTAACAGATTCAGTTATTGAAAAGCATTGTGCTGCCATTCGAGAAAGTATGGGATATTTGCTTTGAAATTTAATAAAAAAAAGGGATTGAAAAGAAATATTTTGTTACTTGCTTGAATAAAATATTTTTATCTTCCATGCACCAAATGCCATTCAAGAAAGGTGTAAGATATTTTTCTTTCAAATTTAATTTAAGTTCATCTTTGTTGTTAATAATTCAAAGCTGGATCCACAAAATTACATTAGTTGAACTTGTTAAAATCATTATATATATGTACCTTTTAAATAACGTATTTCAGGCAGTTGGCTGTGCAAGGTGGTCTTTTAAAAAGCATGTTTGTTTAATAAGTAGTTTGTATGTAAACAACATTTAAAAGTGTATTTAAAAATGCTTTATTTAATTTTTGGAAAATTCTTTTTATAACTAACATTTTGTTCTATAAGTGGTATTGTACAAGGAATAATTGTTTTGTATTGTTTTAGATGGTGCACCAAATTACTATCCTAACAGTTTCAGTGGACCTGTTGATGATCCTAAACACAAAGAAACATCTTTCAAATGCAGTGGTGATGTTGATAGGTGGAACAGTGCTGATGAAGATAATTTTACTCAACCTGGAATATTTTATCGAGATGTAAGATATTAAAAAAAGCAAAACTGTTTTTACAACTAAATTCATATATCTAACAGTTTTTTTATTGTAATGATACGCTGCTAAGAGTGTTATGAGTTTCTGAGATGCAGAAGTATCTTAACCCAAAGCAAATTTTAGCCAGTTTTGGCAACTGGAAAAAATACTTTGTTTAAACCATAATTTTTCTATTTCAAACTCTTGGTTTCTTTTTTTAATTGTGCACATTGCACTGAAACTGTCCAAACATATATCATGGTTCCAAATGATTATATGAAAGATGATTTTAGAGAATGATTCTTTACTCGTGATGTTTTAAACCAGTATTTATGTATATTTAAAAAAAAAAATTGGCACTTTCAGAGGTGATTGTCTTCACTGCTTTTGTTATCAAAATATATGCTATGTTGTGCAATCATTCCCAGTAGTAGTTGATTTCAGCAAATATTATATTTTAGCTTTGAAAGAAACATAACTTTTCTGATCATGAGAAAAATCTTGTTCATTTTCAGTTTAATATGCAGTTATTTAATTTTTGGAGTATTTCATATCTTTCTAAATATTTCATTAAATAATTTGTTACCAGATAATTATCCTCTATGAAATTATTTTCTGTTGAAAACTAAGCTTTCCTCTGCATGTTTATTTTCTACAATATTTTAAAAAAATTAGCCATTTAAAATTCTTCATATGATTTAATTTCCCTCCATTTTCTCATTATAGAGTACAATTGGAATAGAAATCCATAATTTCTTTTAGAAATCAGTCCCCCCCCCTTGTGTTGACCTCAGGAGTTTCTAAACCATCTAGCTAGAAAAGCATGATTTGATTACTGAATATACTTCTGAACCCACAAAAACATCTTAATGATCATACTGACCAGCACTAATAAAATTTGTACCAACTATACTTACAAAATCTGAGAATATATTTTAAATAACAAGATATCACGCCCTGAAGCAGGAGACAGTACTTGGAAATGCAAAACTATCCTGCACAGTTTTAAATGTCTGGCCACTGTAGGTAAAGGCAAGGAACTTTTGGTTTTTAACTAATTAGCATATTAATTACTTTATAAGGATCGTGCAGAAAGCTAGCTAATTTACATAATTCTCCCACATTAAGATTCTTTACTGAATTATTAGTTCCCTTTATATTTACATGCCTCAATTTCTTCTGGTTTTCATGAAATAACTCCCTTAAAAAGAAATCTGATTTATGCTAAATATATATATATATAATTTTTTTAGTTTTAAAATTAGTGTGCTGAATTTTTTTCTTCATTTGATATATATATAACTATGTATTATTCCTTAAAAGATATTAACGTTTTAGGTATTGAATGCTGAGGAAAAGAGTCGTTTAGTGAGCAACATTGTGAACCACATTGTTGATGCTAAGGATTTCATTCAAGAAAGGGCAGTGAAGAACTTCAGTCAGGCTGATCCAGAATATGGACAACGAATTAAAGAAGGCCTTGAAAAATTAAAGGTAAATTTGTCTTAAAAAAATGTTTTTACTTTTCATTTTATTTTTAATGCTGTGTTTAATTGAAGATTGTAAATTTTATTTTAATATTCATCTAGAATAGGAAAACTATGTAAATACTGATTTAATAAGAGGCCATATTATGCTTCAAAGTTGGATAAATGACTTGGACAAATGATCATTTTATGTCCAGGCTAAGCCGTGGATAAATCTTTATCTGATCAAAGTTAATTTTGACACACTAAGCTTACAACTGATTGTTTCATTATGTGGCAGTTTTTTTTTAATGACTTCCTCATTTGAAATGAATCTTTGAAGAAAACTACTTATTAGCACACTTTACAGATACGTTGTATTTTGAATATTGTACAAATCTCTGAAACTAAAATTAGGATACAAAATAATTCTAAATTTTTAAATCTAAAATTCTTTTTACAAACAGATTTCTATGATTTACATTTTAATCTAATATTTACAAAATATATAAATTCTGAATATAAAATTATATTTGAAATGCTTTTTATTTTGCAGACAGAGCGAGCAAAAATCTGAAGCAGTTGTAGAATTTTGGAGTTTCTATTCACGTGATATTTTATGCTTTAAAGCAGCATATTTTCAAATTATTTTGATTTAGAGACTTGATCGAATCTTAGTTTATGTATGGGCAGAATGGATGCTCTAAGGATAATCATTGTAGTAACTCACTTATATAATGTGGACCATTATATTTTTCTTTTGATATGATGTGTAAATTATGATCGTCAAATAAAAATATTTTTCATATTCTTGTTGTGTACTTCTAGAATTTTTCTTAGTCGGTAGCATAATGAATTTTCACCCAGTATTGGATTGTCATATTCACAGAATTAATTTTAAATCAATTGAGCTTTGCATTAATGAAGCATTAGCATACTAAAAATATGCACATTAATATATTTATTAACTTATAATTGATATTTTAATTTGTGTACGTTTAGATTTTGCATCTGAGGTACATAATTTTAAAAGCAGTGAAGAAAAGTACGTTGATGGTAAAGTAGTCCGAAAGCCTCTGAAAACTTCTAAAAATACAACAAATTGTTGTAATAGAGCAAGTTTAGTTTTTACGAAAGTAAATTTCTCAGCGAGGGTATATAAATATTTAGGTTTTCAGTAAGAGGTTTACCAAGTAAGAGTCACATATAGAACAGCATAGAGAGTAGATTCTTCCATGTAGGATCAACTATTTTACTTTTCTGTTTATTAATTTTCTCTGTGTCACTAAATCTTTTGTTGACTCTCATAGTTATTATCAAAATATGTTACAGTGCCCTCACTATTAGTGAGGTTTAAATTGATTATACAGCCTCTGGAATGTTTTCCTTTTTATTTATTTTAAGTTTAATTTCAATAGATTATTAGTCCAAAGGGGCTTTGATCCTGAAGGACTATTGTTTTCGTTTTGCGTCGATTCACTACAAATGGCAAATCACTTTTCAAACTGTTGCCACAAAGTATTATCACCCTGTGTTATATATTTAAAGGAAATAATGAAAAATCTGCATAAATGTATGTATATTTCTTGCATTGTGATAAAACAATAGTACATAGAGCCATCGAATTTTGAAGGACATAATCCTAAAAATATGGGCATGTGGAAGACCAAATTTGAAATTTGTTTTATTATCGATTTCCTATTTTATAAAACTTTAACAAACTCAAGGATTTCAAAGCGAGCAATGGCAATGTTGTACAGAAAAAACATTTTTATCTCCAGCATGTGAGTCTCTGTATCGGAAATTCTAAAGATATGCTTTAAAGCTATTTTGCGATATTGCAGAACTTAATTTGATGGTTTAAGTGCAAAGAACGTGATATTTAATAAATAAATGTAACACACAAAATGTTAAAAAATGTGCTCCTTTGGATGTAATTTGTTTCAGATTTTCTTTTCTTTTTAGTCTATTTTCAATAATTTTGGACCAGCCTGTATGTTTGTATACAGGCTGGGTTACAGTACCCAGCAATAAATACAGGGTGTTTCAGCAAATCGGTTACAAACTTTTAGAAGAGATAGGGTACACCTAGATGATGGAAAATCATATAGAAATGTGTGGTTAGAAATACTTTCCTGGCACGGTAGTAACAACACAAAACACAAGAAAGGAAGAACATGAATAAGGTGAAGAAACATGTTTATTATGCTGAGTACAACAGAAATAAAAAAATAAGAACAAAAATAGACAACTATCATCATTAAAGGTCATCAAAATTATGACCCTGGACCTTGATGGAGGCCTCACATCTCTGGCACATAAAAGATGCCTGACATATGGGTCCTGCATCGTAGACTGGGATTGTAATTTTTAGCACCTTCTTTGATTATGATCGTCTGTTTTTCTTGTATCTGCTGTACTAAGCATAATAAACGTATTTTCTCACCCTGCTCATGTTCTTCCTTTCTTGTCTTTTTGTGTTGTCATTGTTTGTGCCAGAAAAGCATTTCCAACAATGCATTTCTGTATGGTTTTCCATTGTTTAGGTGTACTCTCCTGAATGTGACCGATTTGCTAAAACACCCTGTATATACATATAACATACACATATAAGAATTTATCAAAGAGAATCATCTGGAGCCTATATTATTGAAATTAATGAACTTAGGAATCATGCAGTAACTTGTACAGTACCTTTCTCAGTATCAAGTTTTATATGTATACTTGCTCTAAATATTCAGTATGACCTCCATCAGATACATGGCATACATATATCTGCACGATAATCAAACTCACCTTGTGCCCGATTGAGCATGCCTTGTTTACTGCAGTCGCTGTGTCTGGGTTGTAAAGTGCGGAACATAATGTTGTCTTTCACAAAATGCCACAAGAAATAATCCTAGATAGTGAGACATAGTGGCCACTGATGAAAAGCAAAATCAGTAGCACTCTTATGGCCAAGGTTTATGTTCATAAAATCAACATGACATAGCATTAACACTGACAAAGAATCAAGACTGCTATACAGTTAGCATGATAAAATAGAAATTCTATAGGATTAATGCAAGTTGTCACTATGATCAGTGATGCATAGCTTTGATGTGGCGTAGAACTGCCACATTGTTGCACCAATACTGCGGAGAACTGACACTGACACAAATTTGACAGTATTTTTCGCTCTTATTGTGCTTTTTTTATATTCAAATTGTGTTATATGAGCATAACTTTCCTTTTCATCGAAATTTTTTGTAGATTCTAGTAATAAGCAATTTAAGTATTCGTTAAATATTTAGATGGCTTTTTCCAAGCAGGGCTGAGCATAAGAGAGTAAAATGAATCTGGAGTCCAGGCTGTAATAGTTCTAGTTGGTTTTGGTCTGCTCTGGAGGTTGTCATAGAAATATGTGTGCAATGTTATTTATATTCTGTAGAATACTGGTCACTTTTGTCATCTTGAGGAGGTTTTCAATATAGGAAGGTTCACTGGATTCCAGTGTGCATTAAATAACAGGTGAAATTAATTTTCTCCAGGTACCTAAAAGTTACCAAGAGTTTTTTCTGTAAATTTCCTGTTATTATAATAAGTGTGAAACATTTTCATTATTGAAGAAATGTTATATTAAATTAAATTTTTTCCATAGTGTGTGTTAAACAATCAAACCTGCTTGCTCTATTAAATACAGAGAAAATGATATCGTTGAAAGTGGTAATATTTCAAATGTTATTGATATGGCAATCAAAATTTCATATAGTTAAATGATTTAATTTATTATTGCGGTAATTTTTTGTCCTGAAAACATTTCTTTAAAATCCCAAATAAACCATATTTACTCAAAAATTAGACTATCCTTACATTTAAGATAAGTTAAAAATATAGTAGAATATTATTTTGCTTTTCATTAATTCTGAGAAAAGAGATTCTTTGTCACCTCCCCTGTCACAGTTTCCTTGAAGTAACTGTATTGGTAGCTGTAATCTGACAGCTTCCATACTTCAAGAAAAGTTCTTTTCCACAAAGCTATAATAACCTAGGCATGAACAAAAATGTTACTTTGATGTCTGACTTCTTTCAATACAACTATTTTCGGATCTCAACTTTTCATAAAAACAAAGTTAAATCTTCCTTTACTATCTGTTGTTTTCCAAATCGTTCACCCTAAATGAGCTCATTTGTACTGGGAAATAGATTTAATAAGTGCAACCTAAAAGGCATTCAAATTATTTAATTCATTACCAGGTTCATCCTAGCAGATTTTTGCTGACGCCTTTTAAAGTGCATGCCATATTAGCCTCCTGTAACATCGTGGCAAGGGAAGGAGAAAATAACTTAAGCCTTTTCACAAAACTGAACTCTGAACTTCTGCTGTCAAAATCAAGGAGGTTAGAATAGACTTCCTTGGTCCTCCATGGTCAAAACTCTGGTTGGGTTTCATCAATGCTCATATGGAATCCAACAGATAATTGTAGACTTGTCTGCATACATACCACAAATCTGAAATGTTTAAACTAAAGCTATGACAATCTCTAAGTATAATTTAATATGCAGGTTGAGTAAGACAGTTAGATGCCTTATCATCCCATCTGCCTACAGGAATCAACTCAAAGTTAAGATTAAAAACAAACATATTTATTAACTCATCAACCTAGCAATTACATAGAACTAAAAAATATGGCCATACATAAATTCTGCTCTTTAGGGGAATTTAGAAAAAATGTTCAATTCAAATTTGAATACAAAATACAAATTGGCACTTCCTAAATACACCTGGACTCAGCCTTGAGTATTCTTGAAGCAAATGGGGCTTGTTGAAGCTGAAACCGATAAGTTAATTCAAACAGCAAGGGAACATAAAAAGATTAACGGTCAGCAAATACTGCCAAAAGCTCTCTCTAAACTGAAGAATATATTAGTAAATTTCTTTATATTTTAACTAATTTGCATTTATTCTGGTGAGAATTAACAAAAGTAAAAATGATTAATAAAATTAATTAATTATTAATAAAATAATTAAAAATTACAATAAAATTAATAAAAATAACTAGGTAGGTTAACTAACACAAAATGTTTCAGTATTTTAAGAATGTTTAGGTGAAACATTCTGAATCATATCTATATGATGCAGTTTTAAAACAGGCAACAGCACATCTCTCATCAGTGTTGGCAGTACTCTCATGGAATGTGTTAGGAACCTTTAAGCAGTGTTCTACAAGAAAGGTCATACAACATTCTGTCAGAATTTTCTAAATCACATCTCATATGTTACAGTTCTATAACGTCCAAAAAAACATGTCAAATACCAGTTTTAGTGACATTCTCATGTAACTTATAAAGAACGTTCTATTAAGAGCTATCGTACATTGTTCTAAATTACATCTACACTTTGCAGATCTGCAACGCACAATAGCATGTTCAATACTGAGACTGGTAGCATTTTCCCAAAACAAACATTTGCCCTTTTCTATATATTTATATACGATTTTAGTAAATATCTCTCAGGAATATTTTTTAATGGAAATGAAAATTTTTAAATATATTATGAAACAAATACATAACAGATGTATTTACAGATTATCCGAAATTATTTTTCTTTTAAATAACATTTTGATACAGCAAATAAAAATGTTTAATATTTTATAATGTAACGAAGAAAGGAAACTGGAAATAAGTGGATTCAAGATTTTTTTTCCCCCTGATTCTTTCATTCACATGGAGAAAGGTGATGGTTAGTATCACTTATTTCTAAAATTCTTCCATATATTCCAAATTTTTCAAACTATAATTTCTCTTCAGCAGCTTTTGTTTACTAGTCAAT